GTTCATGTCTTCGTTCTGGCAGGGTTTTTATTAAATACTACCCCCACTAACATCCCAAAATCACATTAAGTCCTGCTCAAATATTTGTTTAAACATTAAACCAATACGAAGTTTTAATTCTTGGTTGGCGGATTTTCAACAAGAGGGTGGAGCCTCATGGTCTTATGTTATCGATGAAAAATAATTTATTTGCTGTATGAATTATTTAGATCTAATATCACAAAAGTTTTTTTTTAATGAATTTATCTTGATTATTTACATTCCTTCTGTTTTAGAAGTTATTACTCAAAAACGTGATTTTTTTCGAACTTTTTTATTACAAGTGTTAATGGAAAAAATCATCAATATTATTAATAAACAAGCTAGAATCTATAGGAATCAACTTTTCAATCATATAAATCGATCAATAATTAGCCATAATAGCCAAATCAATATTGGTCAACTTTAACGCCCCCTGACGGAGAAACTAGCCATAGATTCGAAAAGCGGTCTAGTACTCAAGGACACCTCCTCTATTCAAAAGATAACAGGATACTTATCTACTTCTTCGAGGTATTTTAAAATTTGCAACAGAACTTTTGTTAAACATGCCTTTCTCTTGTTAAAACAACCGCTTCAAAAACCTCACCTATTTTGATCTTAACGCGTGGATTAAGGCCCAAATAACACAAAAACACTTTTTTAAACAATATACCTTAATAAAGTACACAATGAAACCGTTTTCGCCGTTTAATTCAACTCAATAAACTCGATATTCAAAATTATCGAAATCGGGTTCGTCGCTTGACGCAACGTTGATGTCTCCCGTGCAAAAATATTTCAAAAAATCATTAGACAACTTTCCCGCGCATTGCAACGCAGCATACCGATCTTAACACGTTCTAAGATCATCAAATCATCCTCTAAAATTAAAATTAGACAGTATTGACGTGCGCTTGTGCTTTATATTAGTCTACAAAGTTCAAAGTGGTAAACAGACACGTTTAACAGATGAGTTAAAATTGAAGGAATCTTCACGGTGATGGAACGATATTTAAAATTTGCACAAGTGACGTATGAATGTTCCTATTACTTAATGATAATGAGAATAATAAGCTAGAAAATTCTTCTATTTCGTTTTAAATACCCTTAAAGCCGCTGTCTCTCTCAAAAGGATTCACTATTGAATGCCACTACATAGGTACGAGAGCAGTTCAATAAGTACCCGTGTTAGAAATGAAGACACTTTTTTTTTAAATTTGTTTTTTTATTTTTCAACATAGTCCCCTTTTAGAAAGATACACTTCTCCCAACGACCCTGCCATTTTTTTTACCCCTCCAAAAAATAAGATTTGTAGAACTCTCCAAAATCCCCCCCGTCTCGGCGATGACTTCCTCGTTTGAGCTAAATTTCTTTCTCGCTAGTCATTTCTTCATGGTAGGGAAGAAGATGAAGTCACAGGGAGTCAAATCAGGGTGTGCGGCAGCAAATTCATAACGTAATTCGTGCATTTTGACGGCAACAACTCCTGGTGAATGTGCCGGTGCGTTATCGTGTTGAAAACGCACCTTCTTTTTCGTCAAATGCGTCCGTGTCTCCTTCAATTTTTTGTCGAAGCGGTCCAATAACTCACTGTAGTATTGTCCAGTGATCGTTCTTCCTTTTCCTAAAAAATCCGTAAAATGATTTCCTCGGTAACAACGTTTGCCAGACTTCCTGGTCGCTCCTATCAAAAACGGATCTTTGCCCACGTTTAAATTCGTTGAAGCAATATCTAACTGTGATCGTAGATGGCGAAATGTCTCCATAAACAGTATCCAACTTTGTTTTCATCTCGTCGCATTTTTTCCCATCCAAAAACAAAAGCGAGTTACCGAACGATAGTCCTCTTTTTCCATCTTAGCGAAAATAACGAAACATGTCTCCGTCGAATGGCTGCCAAATCCAAACTAACCTATCAATCAGTCTGAAATTCGTTTCGGCGTGGTTTGATAGATGGCAGCACACGATGACAACACCAATTTCCCTCAGGAACGTCCTCCGTCTTCAAACACGGGTACTCATTGAACCGCCCTCGTATTGCATAACATAAAGACAAAGAATGGAATTGCGTATCTACATTTGTTACTTTATATAGATACACATGTATATGCACAAGAAGGTAAGGAATCGCAGAATAGTGCCCTTTGATGTCGAAATCATGAAGTGACGTGCAGTCATGAGCAAAAATATCCCAGACAGAAATGCTTTGTTGCGCTCTGCCCAAATGAACCTGCGACATCTCCGAAATACATCATGCGAATAAATCGCAGTCTTTCGACAAATGCCGATCCAACAGCCGACAGGCCTAAATCACAATAGCTCAAATTTTACCTGTATCTACCGGCAAATCTACTACAAACTTCTAACCATGCATTCATTTGAACTGAAATGTGCAAAATGTTTTTTTAAAAGTATTTAAATACAAAATGCGAATACTTTTTTGATCTGTTGTTATTTCAAATGTAAAATACGAAATAGATTTTTCTTTTGTATCTTTGCTAAATGCAAAATACGTATTTTCAAAATACTTTTTTCAAATAAACACTTTTCTGTAGTAGGGGAGACCGGGGATGGTTGGGTTGACTAGTTTTTTACTGAATAGTTCATATTTTTTGTGTTTTAATGTATATAGACATCATCATCATAAGGTCGTCAGTCCTAAGACTGGTTGGACACGTACCTCCACTCTTTCCTATCCTGAGCTAAACTTCGCATTTCCCTAAAACTAGAACAACCCACATCCTTAACTATTTGCGAAGAGTAATCTAATCTAGGTCTACCTCTACCCCTCCTAACTCCTGTTTCTGCCTCTAATATGTCTCTGACTAGACCTTCATGCCTGAGAAGGTGTCCTACCAATCTATCTCGCCTATTTTTTATTTACTTCCATAGAGTCCTCTGTTCTCCTATTCTTTCCAATACCTCTTCATTTCTAACCTTTTCTACCCACGATATTCTCATCATCCGCCTATAACACCACATTTCGAACGCTTCTAACCTTTTCTTTTCCGCCGCTCCCACTGTCCATGTTTCACACCCGTACAACGCCGTGCTCCAAACATACACCTTTAACAACCTTTTTCGAATTTCTAAATTAACGGTTCGCGAGCATAGAAGTGACTTCTTTTTATTAAAGGCGACACGACCCTGCGCTATCCTCTGCTTTATATCCCTACTACTCCTTCCGTCCTGACTTATCTGACTAAATCTAAATCAGCCACTTCTTCTAATTTTTCATTTCCTATCTCTATATTCGCTCTTTCCCTACTTTTTCTTCCCTTGCATACCAGTATTTTAGTTTTAGTTACAGTACAGCTAGCGTATATCAATTCGATATTGTTTTGAGGGTTGTTTTATCATAATTCATAGAATTTCGTAGTTTCTTGTTAAAGGTACTATAAGTGGCTATTTGGCAGGTGTTTTGAACTTCAAAATTCCATGGACTATGACAGTGAACCCGGAAAACAATATCGATGCAATATTTTAGATTACCCATTTTCAAGGAGTTTAGAATTTTCTCCTTTCTAGATACCGAAAATCAACGAAAATGATTTTGGTAGATGATGATGTTGATGATATGGGTAGACCTAGAGGTAAGATTTGGTGAACACCCTGTACGTACAATGTATTATTAGTCGGATATATGTAGGTATGTGATAGGCAGGGGATGAATTGCGAACGTTGATGTTCCGGTAAAACGGATAGATCGTCTAGTGTAGCTACAAAGCAATTGGCCCGACATAAACAAGCGTTTTATGGGGATCGCGGCTGTAAAACTTGATAGGACTGTCATAAAACATCCAAGACGGCTCGACGATCACCGGCTCTCTTCCGTCTGCCTGTCCTGCCCTGCTCTCCGCCCGTCGATGTTTATACGGTGAGACTTATACGCCGGCTGCTGCTTTCCGAACCTTAAAAACCTTCGCCATCATAAAGCACTTACGCCCCGCTAAATTCTCTCGCAATTACGATAGTTAAAGTGAGACGATGCGTTTAATTCTCTCTCCTGATGGCCTACATTCGGTTTCAATGCCCCTGCTCCCACACAAAACAAGAGAACAAAATACTAAAAACAAAAGAACACACGTCAATCTGTCCAGTCTACTATTGACACTCCACGAGCACAAGCGGAAATAGATCGAAGAATAGAAAAACGTCACAAATGTTTATTTCGGGGACCGAGAACAATATGGCGCCGAAAGTATTTAATAATAGTTTTATCACGAGCCGCCCATGGTGTCAAATCTCTTTATTTCTTGCACCGGAAGGAAACGATGTAAGTAAGTGAGTAAGAAGGTATTACGAACACTTGAAGAGATTCTAGCACAATGTTGCAAAAGGCCTTCAATTAAGCGAGTTGCTTAAATGCGCCTTGGGAAAAGTAAAATGTGAAAACGACCCGCAGCACGACCTGAAATTGGATGAAATTTACGGGCGCAAACGAAAGAAACACGAAAATGTAAGGACTGTTACTAGTCGAACTAACGAAATTACGACTATTTCGACTTATTAACTCATAAAACAATCCCCCGTCGCGTTTCCTATCGTAATATTTTAACTACGCGAGTAACAGTAAATAAGCAATAAATAACTCCTAAACGAGTCACTGTATCTAAGTAACACAAGAAACGGAAGTACAACGAAACATCGGTCTAAAAATCGAAAGTTGTTTCGATAATAAAGGCATCCGAATGAAATTTATCGACTTCTTTTAGACAAATGCTATTTTGCTATTGATGAACTTTGTTTCAATAATGTCGACAGACAGTTGAATGGCATTTCATTCAATTTTTTTTAAACAAATGCTGTACGTTTCAATTGTTCTAAGCAATTACGTGCAAGACATCTTTTGTTTGTTAAATTTGTTATTCTTCATATCGATTTTCATTTTTTTGTATTAATTCTGAAATAATGGCTTAAAATAATGCTAAAATCTCAATAATTTAAGATATTAAAAACCTTTTTTTCTTTGTTTTAGTTGCCTCCTCACTAAAGGACGTCACGCTCATCCTCGACCCAGAGGTGGTACAAAGATACCACCATTGCACCCTGAGGTGTACCTACAACGACGAAGGTGCAGACCTTTACACCGTCAAATTTTTCCGTGGCATTCACGAATTCTATAGATTCACCCCCAGTGAAAGCCCCAACACCAAGGTTTTCCCCGTTCCGGGGATAAACGTAGACGTATGTAACCCTCATTATCACGTTTTTCATTAATTAAATAACTAATCAAAATTAAACTTGAAACAAAACACTTTTGGAGGAAAAAGAAACAGAAGCAACGCGTCTATGATGTTGCAATCAGAATCCTCACGTATTCTTAATAAAGTAGACCTCGTCAAGAAGACAAATCTGCGTGGTTAGAGGGCTGACAGGGCCACATTAATTAAATTACTGTTTCAAGCCACCTCGAATTCTCTGGGGGCCCTTTAAAGAAATCTTTTAATTTCCGTTAACCACAAAGTAAACGATAACGTCTAGAATTTCTCCTCATTTAGGGGAATTTGAGAATTACAGAACTAACAATTTTAACATCTGAAACTCACTGTAAACTTTGGCGCGACATTGCGAAACAATTGAGAATATGTATCCTGCGATATTAAGTTCAATAAAGAAAACAAATTAGAAACTGTAACGTTCAACTTTTTTCTTCTTAATGTGTATTATTTTGTTTTCGGAACTTTGTTACTAGAGAAACAATTGGGCTGTGCACATTTCAATAGTCGATCTTTTGTTAATTGCCTAGTACAACCTTTGTGAACGTGCAGGAGCTTTCGGCGTCTGTTCTGATCTATTCAAAATTCAATTTGCAATCGCTTAAAGCCAAACAGACACACTCAAAAGTACAACACTGCATTTATACCGATGTATGTACAATGAAAACAATTGAAAGTTTAACGTTCAACTTTCTTCGTCGTAATATGCGCCCTACATTCGTTTTCGGCATTCGAAACTAAAAACAAAAAACGGCAATAACGGCGCTACATCGATCGATCTAGTTACCGGGCACGTCTTGGACGACTAATACCTACTAGGTACAGCTTCAATAGATTCCGTCGTAAAATGTTAAGTACCATTGAATGCACTTCCATATATATCCATCAGGAGTAAAGTTTTTGCCATTGTAAACAAGGCGGCACGCGCTCTCTATAGCGCTAAATCGTTAGGCCGAGGGACTACGGACTAGTTTGCGGAGCAAAGGACAAACTTTTCAACAACTCTAACAATTTCGCGAAAGTTAATAATTGAATGTCGCGTAATTAGTTTTCGAACAACAGGGCAAATGACGAGGACTACGAAGCGGTGACGAAAGAGCTACTGACAGGTACACAGGTACAAACACACACACACATCAACGAACTGATTTCGGAACACAAATGCAAAAACTATTCCCGAATAAATTCGACGGAATGGAATGGAAGTTTAGGTGTTTTGCATGTCTGTCTTTACGAAATACAGAGGTATTTGCTTCCAATAATTCAATAGAATCAAATCAAAAGAATGGTTGCTGATATTTTAATTAGATAGGTAATTAAAAATCATGTCAAAGTTGTTTTCAATAAAATTCTGGCCAAGGCGCGCGATATCTATTACTATTTTATACTTTTTGCTATTGTTTTATCCATTCAAACAAAAGATGTACATTAGATATATGCAGTCAAATATTTTTCCCTAATATGCCTCTTTTGTTTCAGATTAATAATTCCAGCAGTACACAAGTGGTCCTAAGAAACATCGACTTTCAGTTGTCCGGAAACTTCACCTGTGAAGTAACAACTGATTTTTTGTTTTCAACAGGAATGGACACTAAAACAATGACAGTCGTTGGTATGTTTCCAGTGTCCGTATTGTTTGTTATTGGTCTTATCAATTATTCGTTGAATCTATTTCAGACAGATGTATCAGTTGCTGTTATCAAATATTAATTAATCAATTGTTCTTTGTTTTTTTTACAGAATTACCGAAGCACCCTCCTACGATAAGTGTGGGTCGCGGCTTACTAGATTATGGTCTTACGTTACACGCTAACTGCTCGTCGCCACCCTCGAGACCACCTGCTACACTTAAATTCCTCCTCAACAATATGACAGTAAGCAACAATTCAAATTACGCGAGAGTTCAGTTGAACCTTTGCCTTATATTATACGAAAACGGGCTCAGCCCTTAGGCAGGCTCCTGTTATGACTGCGGAAACGCCAGTTCTTAATTTTGAAAAATTATTAACTTTACAGAAAGCTTTCAGCCCTAGCAATATTTCTCTTAAACTGAAATTAATGAAATATAGTAAGTAAAACATTTGAAAAACAATTTATAAAATTTCCAAACAAATGCGTTACTGCACGTCATACCTCGATAACAAAAACATTTGAATAATAATAAATACTTAAACAATTGAACTTTCTATGATGCAGTTATTGTGAAACATTGTTACTAATTCAATTAGAAAATAATTAAATGGTGGAAATGGATTAACAAATACAAAGGGAGGAGTATCAAACATTTGGGAGAATATCCCTTGCGTTACTTTGTGAACAATCCCTTACTACCAACGCAGCACTTTCACAAGGGTGGTTATGTTTCTCGACAAACCGATGCGTAAAGATTTAAAAGTCGATTAGAACAAAGTCGAGCCCGAAATCCAGCGATAAATGTTGTTCATTAATTTAACTTGAAAATAAACTTTTACCTGATACAGCAGAATTACCTACCCCCTGAACTAAAGTGACTTATCAAAGTTCAACGTAATACATAATATATCAACGACAAAGGGGTCGCGTTCCAGACAAAACATATCCCCATTTTCCACCCTGCATTTTATTACCTACATATTTGTATTGTTGTAGCATTTGTTTCTTTCTACTTTGTTAAAGGTTGCAAGGACCGAACCGATCCCTGTGTCGAAGTTCAAAGACGCTCAGTGGAGTGACCTAATCCTGGATCTTCCACTGTCGGAATTTCATTTTAGTCGAGGGAGGCTTTTTCTAGTCTGCGTTGCCGAAATTTTAGACATATATAAAGAAGTTGCAGAACTCCGATTGGACAGTGCAAGAGAACCCGTCCCAGAACGCGGTGAGTTGCAGCCAAAATTAATATTTATACAGAAGTGTATTAAGCAATTTTAAAATCCCTAAAAGATATATAATTTATCGAAATTTCAAACAATTGCGTCACTGCAGTTCATATCGATAACAAAAACATTTGAATATCTTATTCCTACGTCTTAGTTAAACAATTGCGTTACTAAACATAAAAACACGAAAACATTTGAACAATAACTTGCTCAGTTTTCGGACAATTGAACTCTATACTAAATGAAGAATTCATTGAATATTTGACCATAAAACAAAAAACAATCCGCAATACGGGTAGGTAGGTATCTAATATTTAAATATATGAATTATAGTTTAAACAATAAAAAAAAGTAAAATTCAGTGGACAAAATTCCTAGCGATGGAGCGATCCAATTAAAAAAGAGATATGTGATTTCAATCGGTCCATTGAAAATTCGAACACGTAAATAACGTATCGGGGTGTCACACTCGAGCAATTTATCTTGAAAATGGTCGAAGCGGATGATTTTTAATGACCGGCATTTTCAATTTGACACACACGCGAAAACAGAAAAAAAGTGACAAGGGAGGGCAGTTATAGGTGGAAAACTACCCCCGGCGTGACTGACTATTGAACTTGTTTCGACAGCTGCAACATTTAGATAAACTACGCAATAAATCTTCTATATTTTCGTTTGGCATCGAGCTTTTTTCTGTATTTACTGCGTCCCCTATTGATTTTCTCGTGAAACTCAAACAAAAGCACCACGAAATAGACAAAAAATTGAACAAGACAAAAAATTGAACAATCACTTGCACGAACTGAAGCGAACAGTAATAATAAAACAACTGAAATAATAGGTAAGAAACAATCTTTTGAAATTTTGTTTTAGATGATTGAATTGTTTGCGTCTACGTTCTTAGAGGACTCAGTATGAACACGTGCTTTATTGAAGCAGAACTTTTTACTTTTGCTGATGTTTGATTTTACGATAAGTGGGATGGGAGGACCACAGGGATGCGTTCTTAAAAAGACACCCGAGTGTTTGCTTGTTTTTGATAATTTCCAACTTCGACACATTTCTCCGTAGGTTAACAACTTTCTTGGTACCAAACTCCCACTTATTACTCTCTGTCGCTCCCTATCTCTCCACTTTGTCGAAGAGTTTCAAGACACGTACCGGTGACAACAAGACGTGCAGGCGTATGATGTTTCTACACTAGATTTTTCTCTCTCTTTATACGGTCTGTTTTCGCTTGAAAGAAATACGAAACAGCCCTCCTTTATAGGATAACATTAACTAAAAGTTCGAGCAACTTTTTCTTTGTTGTTGTATGTGTATGTGTGTAGGTATATTTCATCTTATCGATAGATAAAAACTTTCGCAAAAAAGGTATTCGAACAGGAATATATAACTTTTTTACTTTAAATGAACCTTCTACTTTCGCAAATAAAAATATATCTAGCGGTGTAAAGTTTTCTTTCTCTTAGCATTTTCACTAGGCATTGCTGTTATTAAGTCTGTCATTCATCTGATTCCTATTTATAATGTTTTTTATAAAAGTAGATAGAAAACCTACGCACTCGAAGTTCTATACCCAAAGAGTGTAAGTTTCTAACTCAACGCAATAAGAAGATACGGACTTTCAAAAAATATTTTACGATGTATTGGCAGACATGAAAAGTAAACATACAGGGTGACCATCATGTATCTACATCATCGGTTAGGAACCCCTCATGCATAACTACTACTGTCTTTACTTGACAAACTTAATTTAAGGATTTCTCACATATACAAATGTTGTTTTACATGATCTAATACATTAATACTCTAACTATGTATCGTCACCAGCACCCTACCTTGTGCTATGCCCTCCCATTAGCATCTAACGATCGTCTATTCAAGAAAATTACACGCGCAACTACAGCATGTCCCAAACGAGTTTCATTAATCAAAGTAGTTATACTAGAGGTATTCAGTGACAAGGCGAGTCTTGATGGTTTTGCAACAGTGGCTTACGAGGAGACGGTTTGCGTCTGTAATAAATATTATCATAGTAGCCCTTACTTTGCCTTCAGGCGTTCCTGATGCGACTGCATGATAATAAATTCTGGCCGTTGTGCTAGAGCGTGTCTACCCCGCTACGTCTCGCCGAAATCGCACGTTGCATTATAATATAATCATAAATATACATCGTCTTTACACTGTCACTACGAGCCGCTGCTGAAATACTTACTTAGTGCACTCCTGACAAGGAGTCGTCTATTTATCATTTCAGTTGGCTACGTCTAACACCACCCCGAACATTTCTCGAAGAAGGATTAAGTAAATGACGGCTTCAACGTCGTCTTTTTTTTTTGGGGGGAGAGGGGGGCAAAATGCGACAATAAATAAATACATATACAGTTGTAAACATAGACTTATAATTGGACGATATTGGACTTACCACCGAAGAAAACTGTGAAGACGTAATATTTGATGTTTACCTGAAAATAAAAAAAAATACATTAGGACTTTAATACCATAAAAAAAACTAAACAAATATTGTATTACGACAATAAGACATTAATTTTGGAACATTGTATGCAATGTGTAGCAGCGTGCCCATGTCTAGACTGTTTTCCTTAAATCCCGAGACGTTTTAACTTTTATATTTCGTTCGAAACATGGTCCACATAAATTCCGCGTTTTGTTTAGCGTATATACCTACTACTGAGCGAAAAATTTAACCACGATTTTCTTCTGTTTTCCAGTGAGCGCTCTCAACGTAGCAGCTTGTAAAATAACGTTGCATCCATCCCTGTTTTCCTTCGTTCTTTTGTCATTTTTACGGATCGTACTTAGAGAATAGGTCACCAGAACAACAATGTATACCAAACATTTACCAAACATAGACATATGTACAACGTGTCGTCAGTCATTACGAACATGGATTAAAACTATACATACAGGGTCGGCCAAGGAAAAGTTCGTCGTCTGCATGGAAAACCTACTACGATGGTGCGAAACGGCTGCTGCGATTTTGTTTTGGACTTGCAACATGTAAATGAATGTTACGATTGTGTTTTGTTATTACGAGAAAAGAATATTGTTAAATGTTCCTTTGGAACTGTTGTATAGTTTTGCGTTACAATCACAAGTTTGTAAATTATTAATGTAAGGTGTTATCTGTGATATTAACAAATAAACTGTTTTGTGTAGCTACGTTAAACGCATTTTATTCTTTTGTCATTCTATTCGGCAATTTTTTATTCATTTGTTCTGTGAAGAAACAGATGATGATAGAAAGTTCTGTATGACAGAACACGTCCGAAAAAAATTAAGGTAAGTGAATTTTTTAAATAATAATTTAAATTCATAGTTACCTAGGTGAACTAAACCACATAAGTAATTAAATATTTTCTAGTAATTTGCTTTTTTACGTAAAATTAGGTTAATATTCCGTTGCTACGTTATTTCATTATTATGTTGAATAACAATGGATCGAGAATCTTTTGTTTTCGAAATTAATTTAAACCATTCTACGCTCGAATTAAGCTACAGAGCGACGACTGCATTTCGAGCAGATCTTGAAGCCGAATTATAATGCAGCTTTTAAAACGCTAAATTATGAGGCAAAATATTACCTAACTCCTTTTTTACACCAGCATAACTCTTAATAGCGCAATAAACTCTGAAATCGTTCTAATACTTTAAAACACCTGGCAAAAAAACGTATTGCCATATCCTAAAACTTGATGACGAAAAATGCAAATGCAAAATGCAAATTATTCCAATTGTTTTGACGTAGTTTTATTTTTTGGTAATTAATTTTTAAATTTCTGCTGTAATAGGAGAATACATGAATCGAAAGACAGACGAAGGCTGAATGACAATTGAAACAAAAACAATTCGTATCAATAACTAAGACACAACCGAAAACATTCGCTGGAAGCTTGGACATTAGCCATCTGTTTTTTAAGAAGAAAAAGCAACTGTTTTATTGCAATTGTTAACACAACAGACGAATTAGAAAAGAAAAAACAATTACTATCAAGTTGAAGTATCAATGTAATGAAGCTTGACGGTGTAATTTCTACGTTTCATACTTTCCAAAGGACGAAGGAAAGGTAAAGTTCACTTCGTCTGATCGAGGTCCGTGGTTTTTAAAGTACCCGTCGACGTATAACATCTTTAAATTTTGCATAAGTAATTAAGTTAGAACGGTGCTGATGTTGGTCGGATAAAGTTCCAGATCCAGCTGCATATTTGAATATTAAATAAAGTTGTAAAAGACGGATCTGTATAATTAAAGTGGATGGACACCGATACAGAGGTAAGTTCGCCATCTTATATCGGCTTAAAATAGCAAACAATTTGTGAATTAATTCATTAATACAATACTGAAAAGCGAAATGCATTTGAAGGGGCAGATACAGGGCTAAAACAAATACAAAAGTTAATAGTGCTAACTTTGAGTCCGGCCCTGTATCTAAACGTAAGTAATTGAACAATTGCATTGCAATTAAAGAAACTGTTTTGTAATCTCGCATAATAATTTGTCATCCTGTAAGTTTTAATGGAAGCCCATGTAATCTGGGAAAAGCTCTAGACACTTTGTGACACTTTAAGAAAATTAATTAGACAAAACCATGTCTGTTTTGATTAATTACTCAATGCGTCAAGAATTAGTAGTTAATTTGATTAAAATACACTTGGATGAAGACCAACACACCCCCTCTGGTGATAAATTAGAAGTAATTGTATGTTAAATTAATTAAAATGTTTTTCCAAGGAACATACACCCAGCCATTATAAATTCCTACCCATCAAAAAACACTAGAAATTTACGTAATTCCATCAAGGGAATTATAATTATTACAGGGACATGTTTCTGTTTGTTCCCTGGGTAGACTTTACACAAGACTTATAATTTCATCAAAATTTTTCAAACGCTTCGTTTTTCTAATTAAAATATTAAATGCTCGTTTTAACACAAGAAGCAACGGGACGGCATTTAAAACCATCATCAACACACTTTAATTTAAATCAATAAACCCAACTTAAAGCTGTCAACAGAATAAAATTTTGTTTTTAAAAAAACCAACTGACTTTATTTAAAAAAACAGATGAATTGAGATCAAAAATAATTCCTTACGTTATTTTGTTTTTAAAAAGAACAACTGACTTTAATTTGGAAAACAAATGAATTGAGATCAAAAACAATTACTTACGTTATTTTGTTTTTAAAAAGAACAATTGGCTTTAATTTAAAAAACAAATGAATTATGATCAAAAACAAAATTGTAACACGTTATTAAAGCATAAACAACTTAAAAAAATATACGCATACGGTGAAGTCGCAAGTCAGAGCCAATGTCTATTTTGAAAATTTGCTTCCTATCAAACGTGTTCCCAGACCGTTGCGTTTGTAAGGCATTTCACGTCTGAAAATATTGCATAGTGGGGCTGTCAAAGCTGTCAAGGCAGTTCTACATCCTTCCAGGACAACCCCGGGGGTGAATAGTACTCCTGACACCTTTCTGTTTCCTTCTATTCCCTCGAGATCTAAACTCGCATCTCGAGCAATTGTATTTTGTGTTGAATTTGCTAGAGAACAGTTTGCACTTAAAGTACCGACCTCTCATCTCCTTCTACAATTAGTTCTTTCAAAGAACTCAACAAAGATATCGTACACGCTTATATGTTTCAAAAGGTTCGTGAATATTTTACTTAATTCAAAACAAAACAAAATAACAACTGAGAAATAATTGAATGGCGATGTACAAAAAAAAAGTTGAATTCAAATTAAAGTTGTTTAAAATGAAATGATAAAGTTAGCTAGGGAATTTATTAGCTTTATTGAACCAACTAGCGTAGGTAAAAGACGAAATAGAATTGAAGGTAAAGGATTTGCTAGAGAATTAGGCCACTGATGATCCAATGAAGCCCCTCAAAAAGCGAATTGCTCAGTTTTAGTATACAAATACAAGGTGAAATGTAATATTATATCAACCATTTCATTTATTTTACAATCTTTGACCTAAATCAAAAATCTATGTACCTACAGTAAAAATCGTTAATTGATTTCTTTTGATTTTCGGTGTTCATTTTGTAGCATTTGTTTGTGATTTCGCCAAATTGTACCAAATATCTAGTACATATCAGTTTTGCATAATTAAAATGAAAAACAGATTCGAAATTACAATTATAAATGCATGCATACACATAAATGTTGTATAGGTATAAATAAATGTACGGTAGCCCCAGTAAATAATGACGAAAGTAAATAACAATTGCAATTTATATAAAAGTGATAATAACTATTAGAATTAAGGCTGAGATATTTCAATTTTCGATTATCTACGTAACAATCAGCAAAGCACATCGTCATCTTCCCTGTGGAGGTTGACACAAACACTTACATCATGCATACATGTACGAGGTAAGGCATCGTAATTTGTATATAGAAAGTTTACTTAAGTGTATTTGCAAACTTGAGAAGACCAAATATCATATCACTTCGGAAAATTAGAATATCGGCTAGCTATTTCATCCCGGAGAGAAACTTATCGCGGTCTACAGTAAAATGCATTCCGAATATTCGATGACTCCAGAAGAAGATTCAAAGAAACCAAATGCGAGACGTGGTATTAGGTGTAGGTATATATGTATACGTTCTTCAAAGGATCGGAAAATCGGATTTAGAAAACGTCTTTTCATGTTCGACGTATTGAGCAATTTTATTTATTACGGGAACACACACTCATCTACCTCGGTATCCATGCGAAAAAATAAAACCACGACAGCAAACAAAACAAAAAGAAGAACAACACAATAATCAAAAAACAATTACAAACAATTGCTTTGTATACATCGTCTTTTTTTTTTGTTGAGTAAATGTTAACAAAACAAAAAGAAAACGCCGAGTTCAAAAATAAAGAGAAAAACAGTTGCAACCCGCTATTCTTTCTTTCATTCTTTTTTAAATGCAATTATGAATTATATGTAAGTGTTTAATTTGTAGGACAAGTCTTAATTAACGTTGTAATCCAGGTTGTGCGAGATAGTTAGTTACCCTTATCAAACCAATTTCTGACAGCTACCGCTACATCCAATATGAACTATTACTAAAGTTGTAATCTAAATCTCTTTCTAGTGGAGCACACATGGGGCTGGCTACTTCCACATTAAACTTATTCAATCATATGTAAATGAAAGTAAACTTTACTGACTCATCACGTATAAGCTCCTTATGTATACATGCAGATATACATATGTATGTACATACAGTTAAGTCAGTTTGGCTTCCCAAAAACGGCACCGTAACAAGTTATAATTAAATAGAATAAACCGATTTTATGAGAAAATCGTAATATTTGCATCTAAATCTTTTATAACATTTCGCTATCGTCGAACGTTTTCAAAATGAGTAGGGCAGGAAAAGTGAATGAGGGAGGAAAGTGTATTATCTTAAATTTGCAAAATGGGGACCGTATAGTCGCGAAAGACATTTTTATAATACCTCACGTTCAAAGAACTGAGCCTTTCGGTAAATGCGATTTTGTATTTTCTTCAAAAGGGACTTCCTTTTTTCTCCCTTTCTCCTTTATATAGATACCTTCATATGTACGTACCCTTCCTTTGTACCTAATCTTTATTATATACCTAACACACGTAAATGGAATTGTATCTCGGAAAAAATAACAATCATAAGTTGAAAGATATAAAGGGGAAGTTATAACAGTAAAGGCGCTACTACCCTTTATTGAAAAGGAAATATGCCACATTCAATAAAAAATCCCTTATTTTTCTTAAAATGGGTTTCCTCCTCGCGGAAATCGTAAATGCTCGGGTATTTTTGCCAATTTAGACGTCATATCTTTAGACACATTATAAGAATTAGCTGCAAATATACACTACACATAAATGAGATACATTTTAGGCGGTGAATGTCGATGAGTTATTAATGAGACGTACGTAATATATGCAACGTCCTATACCTTCTTTTTTTCAGGATTTTGTTTTCAGTAAAACAACATAGCGACTGTCTGTTGTTAGTTTTTATTAATTCAAAGGCTGCTTTTGTTTCTGAAAAAAAAAAGAGAGTCACTATAACGATCGGCTTTGCTTTCGATACCGAATCAGTTTTACTAGTTCCGAGTTAAAATAAGCCCTTGCCGATCCTTTTGTTATTTTGGAAGGCTGTTGTT